GCAATCAGACCATAGCTGGCCATCGGCTGGCCATCGGCTGGCCATCGGCTGGCCATCGGCTGGTCATCGGCTGGCCATCGGCTGGTCATCGGCTGGTCATCGGCTGGCTGCAGCCCGGTTGCCCGCACACCATGTGCTTCTGCTCCGCTTTCGAGACAGAGAGTGGGAGGTGGTGCGGGAACAGCCAGCGACGTGCAGACTTGGCTCAGTGGACAGGTTCGGAGAGCATACATGGCAGGCTTTGTGACTGGATACTCGTGGGAGGTGGCGGTGGCTGGGGCGCGGAGTCTGCGGAGCAGCGATGTGGCGGGAGGGTCGGACCCGTACGCCGTGCTGTACTGGTCGACGGGCGAGGAGGAGCGGACGGCGGTGACTCACCGTACCTCCGATCCCGTGTGGGACGCCGTGTTTGCTACTCCGGAGCGGCAGAACTTTGTCATGGTCGAGGTGTGGGACAAGGACACCCTCACGGCCGACGACTTTCTCGGCTCGGTCAAGATCGCCCTCTCCAACGCCGACGACGACGTCCGCGACGTGTGGGAGCCACTCCTGGGCCGCGACAACGAGCCTACAGGTGGCGACATCCACCTGCGCATCACCAAAGTTCCCATCTACGCCTGATCTTTCTCCCGTCGGTGGCGATGCGGTGCCTATGCGGGGTCATTGGATCTCGACACGTCTGAGCATGATGCGGTAAATGGCTGCCGCGCACCTGTCGCCCCACCACACACATACACGCACACCTGTCGCCACCCAGTCATGCATGCGGCAGTGACCGGCGGGACGGGCTTTCTGGGGGCAAACCTTGCGCAGGTGCTGGAGGCTAGTGATGCCGTGGCCCAGGTGACGGTCTTTGGTCTCCCGGGCTCCGAGACGCAATACCTTGCGCCGTGCGCCAAGGCCACCTTTGTGGCCGGCGACATCACCGACGCCGAGGATGTGGCGGCTGCGCTCGCGCCGCGACCGCCGCCAGGTGGGGGCAATCCGGTCCCGATTGATGTTGTCTTCCATCTTTGTGGCGACACTTCGTTCTGGAAGCCGCTCTACGCCCGACAGGCCGCCATCAACATCGGCGGGACCCGCAATGTCATCGCCGCAGCGCGTGCAGCAGGCATCCCGCGCCTGATCCACACCTCGACCGCCGATGTCGAGCTCGAGCCGATGCCGGCCGACTACAACTATGGCGAGACCAAGAGAGAGGCCGAGGCCGAGGCGCTCGCCGCCGACTCGCCGCTGATGTGTGTTGTCGCGCTCCGGCCCGGCATGCTCGTCGGCCCGTACGACTTTACCCTCCAGTTTGGCCGGCTCTTCATCAACCTGGCCGCCGGCGACGTGCCGGCCATTCCCTGCGGCGGAACGTCGGTGGCATGCGTTCGCGCGGTGGCGGCAGCACACCTCGCGGCAGCAACAGCACCAGCCGATCTTGTGGGCGGCCGCGCTTTTGCGCTCGGAGGCCACAACGTGTCGTACGCGGAGGTCTTTGCCGCCATCGCCCGCCGAGTCGAAGTGCCGCCACCACGATGCGTGCTGCCGCAGTTTGCGCTCGTTGGCTATGCATGGGTTGTCGAGCTGTGGGCGACTTGGGTGAGTCGCGTGCACCCGGAGCTCAATCCCGGTCAGGCGCGGTACATGTCCATCTCTCATGAAGTCGACTCCAGCGGGGCTGCAGCCGCGCTTGGCTACACCGTCCCAACGCTGGACGACATCCTCGACTCGGCCCACGAGTGGTATGTGGCGAATGGGTTCATGTGACACATACTACTCTTTCGTTCCCTTGGTCTCGAGGAAGACCTTGCGGTGGTAGAGTGCGTTGAGCTCGGACGGGTCGAGCTTGATCTCCTTTCGCCAGCCCATCGACGCCGAAGGGTCAACCTCCCCGATTTCGGGTAGCTGGCGCTCCGCCATGCGCGCCGCCGCCGCGGCTCGTACCGTCTCGGCCATCAGACGTGCCTCTTCAAGTGCAGCCGCCTCGCGGGCTTCGGCCTCGGTCTTGGCCTTGAGCTGGCGCTCGCGGCGCTCGCGTTCCAGCCGCGCTTTGGCCTCAACCCGCCGCGCAGCCTTGACTTCGCTGTCGAGCTTTGTGCGCAGCGCTGACGCGGCGTCCTCGGCAGCAGCTATGAGCTCCTGCGGCACGCGCCGGGGTGACGGCCCAGGGAACGTGGCGATGGCAGCCAAGGCCGCCCGGAGCGCTTCAACTGCAGGATCTGCATCTGCTGCTGCATCGTCAACTGGCTTTTTGCCGGCCACCGCCCGTCGTGCCTTGCCCAAAACTGAGGGCGCTTTGCGCAGCAACGATTCGTACGCACGCTCGCGACGTGGTGAGTACATGACCAGCTGCGCTATGTCGTCGGCAGCCGCAGCGCGCGCTGCCTCGCCTGCGGCGACAAGCTTGTCGCGCGTCGCAAACCAGTGTGCAGTCAGTGCAGCCTGTGCTTGCGTCACCGGAGCGAGGTCAACCAGTCCTGCGTCGTTGACCTGGGACTGGACCTCCCGCATCGTGTCAACCGCGCGAGCCAGGCGTTGCGTAGGCCCGGTCGCAGAAGTAGAGGCCATAAACGCTGCCAGCTTCTCGAGCTCGGTGGTAGATGCGTCGGCGGCGGAGACGTCAGCGGTGGTCACAATCAGGCCCGATGCCGCAACAGCTGCCGCAGCGTCAAGATCGGCCTTGGACTCGAACCATCCGGCCACAGCGGCGGCCTCGTCGGCCGATGACGGCGAGACGTCAACGAGCTCGAGCGTTTGGATCAGTGCATGAGCTGCCTGCATGCCAGAGAGGATTGGTGCCGCGGCTGGGTTGGAAGCAAGGCGAGCTAGCTTGGCATGTGCATCGGACGCGTCAGCAGAGGTCACCATCCGCGATCCGAGGCTGGCAGCCGCCGCATCCAGGTTGTCCTTGGCAGCAAACCACGCGTCCACGGCCGCAACCTGGTCTGCCGTTGTGGGCACCGTGTCGACGAGGTCGAGACCGTCGATGCTGGCCTGGGCGGCCTGCATAGCAACGGCTGCATCCGTCGTGCTGACGCTGGCCATCTTGGTCTTGGCGTCGGCGACGTCGGCAGAGGTCACCATCCGCGATCCGAGGCTGGCAGCCGCCGCATCCAGGTTGTCCTTGGCAGCAAACCACGCGTCCACGGCCGCAACCTGGTCTGCCGTTGTGGGCACCGTGTCGACGAGGTCGAGACCGTCGATGCTGGCCTGGGCGGCCTGCATAGCAACGGCTGCATCCGTCGTGCTGACGCTAGCCATCTTGGTCTTGGCGTCGGCGACGTCGGCAGAGGTCACCATCCGCGATCCGAGGCTGGCAGCCGCCGCATCCAGGTTGTCCTTGGCAGCAAACCACGCGTCCACGGCCGCAACCTGGTCTGCCGT